AGACTGCTTTCATTGTGTCCCATAGATTCCACTATGTTGTATTGACATTGTCATTTAATTATAGAAACTGTCTGATTTCTTCTTTAATTTCCTCTGTGACCCATTGGTTATTCAGGAGTATGTTGATCAATTTTCACGTGTTTATGAAATTCTTGTACTTTCTTTTGCTATTCAACTCCAATTTCATTGCACTGTGGTCTGATAATATACATGGGATAACTTCAATTCCTTTACACTTGAACATGTTCCGTGAGCAAGCATGTAGTCTATTTTGGAAAACAACCCATGTGCTGCCGAAAAGAATGTGTATTCTGATTTTGTGGGGTGGAACAATCTAAACATCTGTTAAGTTCATTTGTTAAACACATTTATTGAATTGTAGCATTTCTTTGTTTTTCTTTCTAGTTGACCTATCTATTTGTGACAGTGGGATATTAAGGTCCCCACTAATACTGTATTAGTCCTTATTTGATTTTTCATGTCTGTTGGTATTTGTTTTATATAGTTGGGTGCACCAGTATTTGGTGCATATATACTTATTGTCATCTCTTCCTCTTGGATTTTTCCCTTTACCAGGTTGTAGTGCCCTTTTTTGTCTATCTTAATCAGTGTTAGTTTGAAATCCATTTGATCTGCAAAGAGGATAGCTACTCCTGCTTTTTTGGGGGGGAGTGTCCTGTCACATGGAATATTGTTTTCCACCCTTTAACTTTCAATCTGTGAGCTTCTTTTTGAATTGTGTTTCTTGTATGCACCATATTGTTGGATCTTGCTTCTTGATCCATTCTGCCAGTCTATTTCTTTGATTAGTGAATTGAGACCATTTATTTTGATGGTTATAACTGATATGCATTGGCTTATCCTGGTCACGACCTTTTCTTTTTTTGTTTTTTTTGAGACAGGGTCTCACTATGTAGTTGAGACTGACCTGGAAGCTCAGTATGTAGCCCAGACTGGTCTCGAACTCACAGCGATCCTCCTGCCTCAGCCTCCCGAGTGCTGGGATTACAGGCATGCGCCACCACGCCCAGCATGACCTTTTCTTTTTGTTGAATTCTCCCCCTTTGCATTTAACTTCTTGTCTTGCCTTTGCCTAATGGATCCATTCTGTTGAGCTTTTTGGGGTTGTAATCCTCATTGTCTTTTCCTAAAATATTGTTTAAAAAATTTTGGAGTACTGGTTTTGTATTCATGAAGTTCCTCATATGGTCTTTGTCATTAAAGTATCTTATTTCTCCAATTTTAAAAGATAGTTTTGCAGGGTCCATCAGTCTGGGTTGGATGTTGTTTTCCTTTAGGGCTTGAAAGAAAGACTTCACTCCTGGCTCTTCTTGACTTGAGGGTTTGTTTTAAGAAATCTGTGATTCTGATGGGCTTTCATTTGTATGTGATTTGTTTCTTTTCTCTAACTGCTTGTAGGATTTTGTTCTTCTGTTGGGTTTCTGGAACCTCAACTTATTATATGCCTAGGTGTAGATTTCTTTTGATCATAGCTAATTGGAATCCTATATGCCTCACTTAACTGTATGTCAAGTTCTTTTCCCCTGCTTGGGAAGTTTCTTGCCATTACTTTTGTAAACAGTTTTTATGTCATTTGCAGTGTCTCCTGTTTCTTCATTGACTGATTAGTCTTCTGTTATTCTTTGTATCATCTAGCAGCTGCTGGATTGATTTCTCCTGGTCACTTACTGTTTTTAGAAATTTTTCTTTTCCTGGTCACTAATTGCAATCCTGTCTTCTATATCTGGTATTCTATCTTCACATTGGCTCATTCTGCTGTGTAAACTTTCAGTGGAATTTTTAATCTCCTGGATAACTTTTTTTTGTTTTTTTGGTACTGGGGATCAAACTTGGGTCCTTGTGCTTGTGAGTCAGGCAGCAGTAACACTGAACTAAATCCCTGGCTCTAATCTCCTGGATATCTGTTTGTATCTGTTTTATGGTTTCCATTTGTTTCCTGTGCTAGGATTCCATCATGTTCCTCAGTTCCTTAATTTTTTAATTTGTGTCTATTCTAGACTTATTAATCATGTCCTTTGCTATGGACACAATCTCTATTGTTATCTGAGAAATTATTTCTGATTTTATTTTTTTCCAGATCCTTTTTCATTGCTAGTTCAGGGAGTCCAGGTGGTTGAGTATTACATTATTCCATCTCATTGCCCCTTGGGGTTGTCTTAGATGATCTGGAAGTCTAGTTTTGAGACTTGTTTATATGTCTTCTCATTTCAACAAATACAGCCTATCATGACTTTTTACTTGCCCAGTAGGCTTTAATTCTCAGCAAGTCTCAGAGAGGCTTATTCTCTGCTGCTCACCAATGCACCAATTCCTGGGTTCAGGATGGTGGCCTTCTGTATCCCTATGCTGTCCTGTTTTCTGGACAGGTTCTGGCGGGGGCCTGTGCATACTTGGGATGGTATCTGAGTGTGCTTCTGTCTGGGGCCTGCCCACCTGTGTAGCTGTTGTCTGGGAGGGTCTTTGGCTGGGGGCTGTGCATCCAAGTAGCTGGTGTCTGAGGAAACTTTTGGCTGGGGTCTCCGTGCACTTACCAATGGTATTTTGGAGGGCCTCTGCCTGTTGCTTGCTTGCCTGCACAGCTATTTTCCAGGAGGGCCTTTGGCTGGGGCCTGTGGGCCCAAGCTGGTGGCATCTGGGTGGGGCACTCCAGCTGTAGCTTTTTAAAAATAAGCTGTATTTTTTTCAACTATGGTTTACCTTCTAGACCTCACCGATCATTGCAATCTGAAATAGGAAGGTGGTTTTGTTTTGTTTTTACCATAGTTTCAAAAAATTTCAGGTAGAAGAAAAAATTGTTTTAACCTCAGAATATATGAATGGCATTTAATTTACTTTAGCAGCATAGCTGGCTGGCTTTCTTCTCTCTCTCCCTCCCCCGCCCCTTTCACACATAGCTGTGGAAACCTACCAAAACCTTGGAAAGAAGAGGATTATTTCAGTACATGTAAAAATGTCAAATTTGAATTAGTTGCCCATACAGTTTTATCAATGTATAACTGCACTCTCATGTTTGTGTATTGTCTGTGTCTGCTTTCATGCTACAACAGCCAAGTAGAATAGTTGGAACAGACATGGTGAGGTTAGCAAAACCAAAAGATTGACCATCCAGCCCTTCTAAAATATGTTAGTTGATCTGGTCTAGAATATATTTTAGTGGAGCAGCACTGATAATTCCTTTTCTTTCTTTTTTTTCTGGTACTGGCAGTCAAACTTAGGACCTTGTGCTTATGAGGCAGGCGTGGTGCCACTGAGCTAAATCCCCAGCTCTGATATTTATTTTTTAAAAGATATTTTAGAGTTGAAGATAGGGCACTGCAAGGCTGTTGCTACTCAACAAGGTGTGTGTGTGTGTGTGTGTGTGTGTGTGTGTGTGTGAGAGAGAGAGAGAGAGAGTGTTTCTGGACAACTATTTATATTTTACATTAAGATGGGAATAAGAATGCTACCTATCTGTGTAAATAGATCTTATACAAAAGGAAAACTTAAAATGTATTTTATATACTCTATGTATTTGAAACTAGTTCCCACATGTTGTAAGATTTCCTAGGTCTTCTGTTTGAGATGGTAACATTCTGACAATTGCCTCTGCAATTAATGAATTTCTTTTAGCAGAAGACTTATCCCTTATTTGATATCTCATCATTGGAGAGAGTATATTTTCCAAGGTTATGTCTGCATCATGTCAAAGTACCTAGATGCTCTCATTAGTTTAGTTTAAAAAATGAAAGAAGTCAGATGAATTATTTCTAACATCATATAGATTCTTTAAAACTAAATGGAGATATGGGAAGTTAGATGTCTGAAATTTTGAGCTAGTTGCTTTTTATGACAGTGTAAAAAAGACTGACTGTGATAGAGGAATGTCATGTAGAAAATGTATTTTTAGCCTCCAAATGTGCTGAAAATTGAGAGTTGATTTAATACTTTTTTTTAGATTTTATATATATATATATATTTTTCTCTCATTGAGTTTATTGGTACATTTTAGGTGTACAGTACAGTTACATTCATCATTGGGATCTTGTACCTTTACCTGATGACAGGTCTTGGTTCTCATTTTTCCCCTTGTCCCTACCCCCGCTTCACCTCCTCCTAACCCTCCCCATTTACAGACACTTTATTTCCATTTATTCATTTTCTCCTATTTTTTCTTTTCCCTTATTAGCTTTCCCCTGCGCTTCCCAATTTCCCTACACCTTTAGCCCTTTTCTTCCTATTTCACATTGTCAATTATCTCATTAGGATCTTATGTACTATTATAGTTTTTCACACCCAAGAAACTATTTGGTATTTACGCATGTGTGACTTTGTTTATGCTCTGTGTTGGAGCACAATTCATAGTCAAACTATAATTATTCCAGGGCTGGGGATTTAGCTCAGCGGTTCAGTGGCCTGCCTTGCAAGTGCAAGGACCCGAATTCAATCCCCGGTACCAAAAAAAACCCAACCAAACAAACTATAATTATTCCATAAGAAGATACTGTTTTACCTAAGTATTAAGGGTATAAAAAATCATTCTTTTCAAAAGACCTCTGAGACTAATCATTTATTAATATTTTCTTCCTACAAAATCTATAATAGTTTTCCTATATTAAATTATCAATGCTGATAATGCTGAAAGAAAAACAATATGCCTCCTTGGGACCTTAGGTATTAATAGTTCCAAGTTTGTTCTGGTTTAGGGGGGCATGTAATGAATCAGTATGATTTCTGAGACTTAAAACCCTAACATATCTGCCAATGAAGTTCAGTTTATTTGAAACCAAAATTTTCTCATATATTTATGTGATAGAGCTTTTGAGATTGAGTGGTTTTCTATTCTATGCCTAATAAAGTCTGAGTGATACTGTATGAATTATTGTTCATACTCAGGCATCTTCTCTTTCCTTGTCCCACCCACCAAGTCCCACTTTACCAAAGCCACAGCTGTCCTTCCACATCAGTAACTTTCTGCACCCTTTTTGTTTCTTTTTTTTCAGGCATCTAGTGGAAATTATTACTTCATCCCCTACATTGTGACGCCATGTGGTACTTGTCTTTACTATGAGAATGTTGCCCGGAATCAAGCTTCAGCACACATGCAGCCCAACTTGGAGGCCGTCCTGCGCCCGCTGTGCATGCCCCTGGTGGACAGGTTCATTAGCCTTCTCAAGGACATCCATGTGACTTCTTGGTAATTCCCAACAGCCACCAACAACCCTGGGAGTCTTGGCAAAATTTCCCTTCACTTTCAGGGAGGGCAGTAATAATTAGGGTAAACGAATGTTGGCTAATCATTTTAAAATCATCCTGGAATCCATCATTCCCCTTAGTGCCTAACTAAGTTTAGTTACTGAGGTGAAGCCAAAAAAGAACAGAACTGGAGTAAGGAGGTTGGAATTGGGCTTATGTCTGGCCCTAACTCCCTGTGTGACCTTAATATGTTAATTTCTTCTCTGTGGCTACTCTAGAAAACAAGGAAATTAAGTCAGTGATGTTTTTAAATGATTTCTTTCAACTTGGAGATTCTGTGTTTCAAAATAATTTTGAACATAACTTTATAATCCCTCTGTTGTTGAAGTTCTTAAGGTGCCAGGGCAAGGTCATTCTGACCTTGAGTTCTTGTACTATGAGAGCTTGTGTGCATTAAGTCAAACTGTAGTCATCCTGACCTGTAGCATATTAGATTTACGTCAGAGGTGGGATGGAATGCTCACTCAGAGGTGGGTAGGTTTGAATGTAGGTCCTAGATTAGGTGATTCCTGGCTCTGTAGTCCTGAAAAAGTCAGTTCCCTTCCTTGAGCCTCAGTACTTGATAAATTGTACCTTCAGTGTCCTGATGAAAGTGAAAGGCAGAAAAATTATTCTTCTTAACCACAAGGCCCAGTTGTTTTGTTCTCAACCAATTTAAAGGATTTATTCCTGTAAGTTGTGTCACAGGAAGAGGATTTGTCCTTTCAAAGCAAATGAAAATCCAAAGCACTGACAGAACTGACTTCTAATGAAATGTCAAGAACTACATGCCACATTTTGGCTCAAATCATAGTACCCTGAACTGTGAAGAGTTACTACTGAAGAATTGGCCTGAAGTTCATACTTTTGTTAAGTCTGCTCTTCTTTTTTATTCTGTCACTTCTCTGGGTGGAGACTGTCTTCTATAGACTTTAGTGGAAAAGACTGGAAACCTAGATATGTGTGACCACATGCCAATGCAGAAAGCAAATGGAGTTTTTGTGGCATATTCTTTGCAAACCTCATTTAGTCATACCTTGCTAACTATTGTCTTATTGCAAAACAAACATTTTAGTCAGTTTAGGGAGAAATTTCTTTTAATATCTTATTTTTGGATCTGACAAATAGGTAGACTATCTTTGAGTCTGCCAAAACAAGTTATATCTTTGCAAGGAATGGGTTCAAGTTTATTTCTCATTCAGCATATCTGTGTATTAGGAGGAGAGAAGACTTTTTTGATGTGGTTTAATTTCCAAGGGCTTGAAATGTGTTGGTGGATTCTATCCCGTGATTGGCAAGTGTTGGGCAATGGGTAGTAAGAGAGTAAATTGTGCTTATGGTTGAAAACATCTATAACAGACATGGCAGGTAATTTTTTAGATAAAGTAATAACTTTGATAGATTTATAAAGTCTGTTTTGAGTCCTGTGCTAAAAAGGGCTTTGAAGCCATTTCCAAGTTCACATTTATGAGCAACATCTTTCCTGGTTACCAGAGGCAGAAATGGTTGCATGTTTATTGCATATTTGATGTCCCTAAGCCAGAATAAAGTCAGTGTTTTATATACTTAAGAATATTGTTCTTATTAGATTTCATTTATTAAAACAATTTTTTAGAATTACTCTTGAAAACAAGACTAAAGTATAACTTTTTACCCATCAGGCTAAACTAATAACACTTTAATAGCTTTGATACCTTTAAAGTCTATCAAATGGGCAATGACTGTCACCCAGTTTAATGACTCATTCAATTAATGACAGAATTTTAAACACTGGCAGAACCTACTAATTTGCTCATCATTGGAATAATAGCAGTTGACAAACAAGGAAGTAAAAATATTTTCATATCAGAACCTTTTCTGTGGGATATCACTCCATTGTTTAAATGTTAATTGAGATATTATGAACATTAGAACAGACTGTGTACTGTATGCACATTTCTGTGGCATAGCTTTATAATTATTCAGAGTAAGCACCATTTGTCCTTAGCCTATGTTTTGTTTTCCTTTCTCTAGAGACAGTTATTTAATTTAGCCTGTTCTCTTTTTAATGAGGCAGGCGGTGGCACCACTGAGCTAAATCCCTGGCCCTTGTTCTTGTTCTCTTTTTTTTTTTTTATTGAGTTTATTGGTGCATTTAGGGATACAGTACAGTTACATTCATTGTTGGGATCATGTACCTTTACATGGCAAGTCTTGATTCTCATTTTTTTCCCCTTACCTCTGCCCTCCCTTTTTAATGAGCAGTTTAATTTTACTCTCTACATTTAGCTCTTTCAGCTTCTTAATGAGTTGATAGTATTACTGCTTGACAGTGCCTAGTATCTATTTTAAAATTACTTAGAAAATGGATGTTTAAATAAATCTGTGGTCATTATAAGTTGACTTCTCTGTACCAAATTAGGTAATTTTTCAAGTTTTTAAAGCAAGTACCATGTACTAGCATTGGGTCTGTGAAATGCTATGGTGACATTCAGATGTGGATTTATACTGCTTTATTTTTATATACTCCTGTTATTATCTAGATGCACACATGAAGGAAATTTTATATTTTACATTAGAAAAACATTTTACATTGCCGTATTTTACATTCTTGCGATTATGACAAAGCAAAAGGGTGAAAGGTGGCTCATGGTATTTAGAGTTTTGTTTGGCTTTGTGATTACTTGTGAGGAAAATAACTATTCAAGTAAGGTACCTTATTGCCCTATATATTTAAAAGTATCAGAGAAAGTAGGTTGGTTAAAAAGTCCTGCATGTTGTGTGAATATTTTAGCTTTGGAAAAATTTAAAGTTTTAATGATTTTTTTTATCATTGAATAGTACATTTCTGCAAGATGTAAATAACAAGTCAGAGGGTCTCTTGGTTGCTGGTTGATGGAGACTCGGGTCTAGGCTGAGTTCTCCAACTATTAGTTTAAGACATGTCAGTGAGAACTGTGTGTTTGAGAACCAAAAAGAGAGCCCTGGATTAATGTAGATGTGACTGGGGCTTTTTGTATTTCCCTCTCCAGTACTTATTACAAAGAAGCCTTGTTAAATGACATCCGGAATGCCAGAGTGAAATACCAAGGCAATGAACTGGCAAAGGAGCTGGCTAGGATCAAACTTCGCATGAATAGCATTGAGGTTATGACCTCAGATATCATCATTAATTTACTCCTGACCTACCGTGATATCCAGGTATGAAATATGCCTTGCTGAGGCTAGCATATGCTGAATTTTTCCCTGTAATGAAAAACTACTCATGAAGTACTTTTATATCAGGTATATGGTAATATAGATGTTTTATATAAAAATGATGTTACTAGGTCATAGGTCATTCCTCTTTTGTGGTAGGAGTTTTAGAGGAAGTTTTTGTTCCATTGGGCCTAGTATGATAACACTAATAAGAGATCATATATGCAAGACTATTTACTATAAAGGACTATTTAGTATAAGAAACATTGACTGAATTGCCGGGCGTGGTGGTGCACGCCTGTAATCCCAGCACTTGGGAGGCTGAGACAGGAGGATCATTGTCAGTTCGAGACCAGCCTGGGCTACATAGTGAGTTCCAGGTCAGTCTCAACTACATAGTGAGACCCTGCCTCAAAAAAATACCAAAAAAAAACAAAAAAAAAAAAAAGAAAAAACATTGACTATAACTGTTTATATACACTTTATGCTAGGCATTGTTCCAAGCCTTTTGAAATCCTCATTCATTTAATCCTCTTAACCCTATGGTATAGGTTTGCTCTGATTGTACCCATTTTGCAAATAAGGGAAATGAGGCACAGAGAAATGAAGTAACTTAACCAAAATCACATAGTTGTTAATAAATTTAAGATTCAGATTGAGGCCATTTGCTCCATTGTCCTTGTTCTTAAATCCTCTGCTACTTCCTTTAGGCCTTTGTCACTTCCTTTTTTGTTTACCACCACTTAATTAGTGAGAGAGCAGGGATTCCAGAAGCATGAATTGAACCCGGGGAATGCAGATTTTTTGTTCGTTTGTTTGTTTGTTTCTTTGGGTCCCCGGGATTGAACTCGGGTCCTAGCGCTTGTAAGGCAGGCGGTGGAACTGCTGAGCTAAATCCCCAGCCCTACAGATGTTTATTCTAAGATAGGAGTCAGAAGTTACTAGAAAGTTCTTGAGACAAGGCTTTTGGGATATAGTACCATGAAGAAAATCAAACTCCTCCAAGTTTATTTGCCATGGAGTCATTTCTAAAGGTGTCTTGCCTCTTTTTCCTCTGGATGCACACAGGATATCTCCCTTGTAAAATTCTACAGAGTCAAAATTGTTGGCCACAGTTAATTAAATTTAAAAATGGAGGCATCAACTTATAATGTGGGTCAAGAACAGTAAGCCATTAAGGAACTCATGCCCCTAGTAATAGACTGATGCAGCTAATTGATTTTAATTGCTAATGCTACTATGGATTATGACAGTGATTAAGTCAAACCCCTAGGATTAACCTTTCTTGAAGTCTTTCTTCCTTTGAGCTGTTGGCTTTCTTCCCTTGCCTTCAAGCAACCTTTCATGTTTTATCCTTCCATTGATGGTACTTACAAAGCCAAAGGTGAGCTAGGAGGTTCCTGGAATACACTGTTTTCTCTTTCCTGGGGAAGCAGCATCAAGTTGCAGAGCCATGAGACAGGCATGGGGTTTCAGTAGGAAGCACTCCTCTGCTGACTGTAGCTAGCACCAAGTTGGCCAATACCAATAATTCTAAGCCTGGATGAAAAAGGATAACAGGTAGCACTGTTAAGGTAAGAGGAGACACAAATAAGACATACATGGTAGTAGTTTTTCCCTGGTTAATTCCACAACATTTAGAATAGTGGTTCTAGCCTGAGGACACTTGGCAGCCTCTGGAGACTTTTGGGTTGTCAAAACTGAGTATGGGTTAGAGGATTACTGCTGACTAGGGATGCTGCTACCTATTTTAGAGTGCACAGGATAGCATTTTATAACAATGTTCTGGGCCCAATAGATCAATAGTGCTGAGATTCATAAATCCTGGTTTAGATTAATTTCATTCTAGTAAAAAGAGGAAGGACTAAACTGTTTTATCTCTTTATGTGGGAAGTTGTCTTTAAGTTTTTTTATATGTATATATCCAGCTGGTTTTAACACACAGCTCTGCTAATGGTGTTAACCTTCCTATACTCTGCTAGACTGGATTTGTTTTGTTGCCTTTGGATTAACAATTTGCCTTTGATCCCTGTGTGCTATTTACATCAGGGATTCCTTCTCTGTCCTCCCCTCTCTTACTCATCTTGTTTTAAAAATATTTTTTGTTCTAGTAGAAGCTACAAGTAACTTAACTAAAACTCTGCGTAAGGAAAGGCTTGTCTTTAAATTTGGAGGCTGTCTCATGTTTGTAACTACTGAGAAAAATCTGCAAAGAGCTACTCTCTGTCTTTCTCATCCTGGGACCTCTTGCCAACAGGACTATGATGCAATGATCAAGCTGGTAGAAACACTGGAGATGCTGCCTATGTGTGATGTGGCTGATCAGCATAATATTAGATACCACTACGCATTTGCACTGAATAGGTAAGAATGATAATGTGTATATAGGGTTTTGAAACATGTCACCTTTTAAAATTTGCTTCCTCCTTTTTTTCAACATTCATCAAATATGAGCCAATTTATATGCTAGATGCCAAGGTTATGAAAAATGGGCATGGCACAGTCTGTCTTCATGGAACATATATTTGTCTTTGGAACATATATTCTGGCTGTGAGATGAGACACATAAATAAATCCTAATAGTTCAGGGTGGTAAGTGGTTTAATTAAAGTTTGTCCAAAGTGATATGGAAGTAGCAGAGGAATGGAGTCATTCTGTTTGCAAGTTTTAAAGAAGCTTTTCTGAGCTGAGTTTTGAAGAATTAATAAGAGTAACCTAATGAATGGAAGAAGGTGGGGGGTGGAGGGATGGTGAAAAGGCCATTGCATTTGGCCAGACCAGAGTATGAGTATAGAGTTCTTCATGTGCAGAATACATTTATGGAACATTCCGTGCAGTGAGAACACAGATGTAGGTGAATTATGCAGGCAGTGCAGCTAAGCATGGAGGATGGGACCACATCTCAAAAAAACTTCGTAGAAGTTGGTAATGTCTTGTAGATTGTGTGTGTATGTGGGAGGGATGGTGTTTAAGCAACAGGATTGACATTGTATGATGGGGAAAGAGAGTGTTATCTTTATGCACTAGTATAATCTGAATTTGGAAATTTAAAATGCTGAGCTAAATAGAGCATGTGCAACTTTGAAATTCCTGCCTGGAGATCACAGGCTTCAAAAGTTTAAATGGTAGAGGTGACAGCTAAGATGCAAATTATCTAAGATGCAAATAAACCACAAAAACTATGATTTTTTAAAAGATTGACATTTCTGTTTAGCATAGCAGGCTAGAGGTGAATAGTCAGTCGAGTGGTACAGCACTGCTCTTGTGAGTTGCTTAGGGACTTAGAATCCAACCATTTTATACTCTTATCACCTAGAGTATTGACCTTATCGGCATAATTGAAGGTAGGATATTGCCTTTCTATGTCACAACCTATGAAATGGGAGGGAGGCACTGAAGAGGAAGTCCAGGACAGGTGATTTCCTTTAAAACAAGTAGAATTTACGCATCCCATATTTATTCACATTCCATTGGTGAGAATTCAGTCACATGACTCCATTTAGTTGCAGGGGGAGCTGGGAAATGTATCTAGGTGGCCAGCCATATGCCCAGCCAAACTTGGATCTGGATAGTCAGGAGTTTGACACATTCAATCCCACAAAAATTCCAGGTGCCTAAATGCCTTAGTTCTATCATTTCCCTTCCTCCATTTATAATATATGGTAAGAGGGGCATCATAAGGTGAATATCATGAGAGCCATGCCCAGGTACACTCCCTGTTGGGCCTGTTACCAGCCTGAACTGGGAATTAGTCATATCAAGTTATAGAAGCAGAGCATTCTGGGAGGGTATTTAAACTTAGCTTGAGAACTGGAGAGTTCTGACACCTACTTGTCCATCTTCCACAGCTGACATCTTACTCAGAGAATGAATAAAGTGAAGGTTTGAGGATGAGTTAGGGGACTTTCATATCTGATTTCCCAGTTTCACAGGCTCTGCTTTCCTTCAGCAGCTGGATAGGGTATAGATTGTTGACCTGCTCTGCAGGAAAGCAGCAAAACAGGAACCCATGGGTTTGAGAGTTTTAGACATGTGAGTTCACATCTCTCTCATTTTAATTGAGGTAAAATTTGCAGTCAGTAAAATCCATAGATCTTAAGTATATAATTTGATGAGCTTGATAAGAGGATATACACAGGTAAACAACACCTCCATCAAAATAGAAAACATTTTAATCATCTTAGAAGTTCTTCATGCCCCTTTCCAGGTAGTCCTTTCCCCTCCTTTGACAACCACTGTTGTAGCCTTTATCTCTGTGGTTTTGCTTGTCCTTGAATTTTACCTAAATAAAATTACACAACATGTCATTTTTTATGTCTGGCTTTTTTATATCCAGCATCATTTTCATGGGATTCATATATACTGTTATGTATATCAGTAGTTCATTCATTCTCATTGCCATAGAGTATACCATATATAGATATGGCACAATTTATTCATTTTACTGGTTATGGACCTTTAAATTGTTTCTAGTTTGAGGATGTTAAGACCAGTGCTTCAGGGCTGGGGATTTAACTCAGTGGTGCCGCCACCTGCCTCATAAGCATAGGGTCTGGAGTTCAATCCCTGGTACCAAAAAAAAACAACAACACATTTTAAAAAAAGAACAGTGCTTCTGTGAACATTCTTGTGCAGTTTTTTTGTTCATATATATATATAGATAGATAGATAGATATGTATACACACACACACACACACACACACACACACATTTCTGTTGGGTATATAGAATTTATATGTAGTACACACCAGAAAACAATAGGGTTTTAATTTATTTTAGAGAGAAGGCTTGAAGTCTCTATGAAAATGTGCGTGCACTTTGCAGTAGCCTTTAAACTCACATCCCAAAGTAGGAAGTGTCTTCAAGAATAAAGGCCAGTCTTAAGTCTGAAAACTCTGTTCCCCAAACATGGAGGGCTCAGTTAATTACATTTACTTATACCTGTGTACACTTGATTGATCCTTGATTTATAAGAATTAAATACATTATCACTTGTGAGTTTCTATGCTTGGCACACTATAAGTGCTATAAAAATTGGCTTCTTAAATAAAAACCGAAGGCCATATAAGTCAGTCACCACTGTGTCTTTTTACCAGATGGAGTAGAGGCAACTGTAATAGGATTTGAAATGGAAGATTGGTTTCTATGAGAACTGTATGCAACAGGAGGTGGTGATTCTGAGACAAATATGTTTCCAATTTGGAAGCAGAATGCCAGGATTGTGTGCCAAAGAGCCACTTTTTCTTTGCCTTCTAGTATAATTGTTTCCTGTTAGACAGTGGCTTTATATTGTAAGATCAGGCAGGATTTTCATTGTTGGGAATCTCATATTTTCCCCCAGCAAACTAGGAACTTTCTATAGAATTGCAGTGTTTCTTCCATTTATGCATTTGATCCAATTCTGAAAGGTTTTAGCTTTAGCTTCAACCTGACCAGATGTCAGCATAGTTGCAGTAGGATTTGACATTATGTATGGCTTTGAAAAGTTTATGGTGTTATCTTTTATCTATAAGGGGAAATAGTGATGGGCAAAAAGTGAATTTTCCTGCATTATTGTTGACCTTTGACTCTTAGTAAGAGGAGCCAATCATGGCCATAAATTATTTACTAAAGGTTGGTGGAGATTAATGGCATTTGACGCTCAAATGGCAAGGGCTCCCTGTCACTAGGAAATCTGGCTTGGGATGGCCAGCTTTTCCTGGTATCTTCCACTTCGCTGCATTTGGAAGCCCATTCAAAACTACTACAAGTTACCACAGAGCAGTTAAACTGCTGGCCTCTCAATGTCATGAGATCCTTTACGAGCAAGTTTTATTTGCTGTTACTTTTGCAGATGGGGATTTATTATGTACACTCATGCAAGCAGAATATTCTGACCAAGGGATCCCAGCTAGCAGGTAGAAAAATGGGCTAAAAGGAGAACATCAGAATCAAAGTCCTTTGTTAAAACAAAAATTTTCTATCACAAAATACAAGGCATATGTTCGCATACTATTTCTTCCATCTTTAGGTCAAGACCACCAACTCAGGCAACTTTTACCTTATTGAATTACCTCAGAACCTGGAGAGGAAATGGGATAGATGATGCATTTAGTGGAATGTCTAATGTGTCATTTGATAAATAATAGCAATAGAGAGAAGATGCTCTGTGAACCCTAGAAGAGTGGGTGTAGGGGACTCTTATATGAAAATGACTGAATCCAATCTACACCAGAAGGGCACCAAGCTTTTTCCAGAACCTACAGCAGTTACCCAAGTCAGTCTCTGAGCTTCCCCGCCAGGTTATTCCTTGAGTAAAGGGACACTTTCCTTAGGAGGGCACTGCAGACTTGTCACCTCTGCAAAAGCTGTCAGCCTTTTTTTTTTTTTTTTTGTATCTCTTCTGTTTATGTTCACTATTAAATATCACTATCTTTCCAGGTGTGGTGTTCACCTGTAATCCCAATGTTTGGGAGGCTAAGGTAGGAGGATCGCCTTAAGTTTGAGGCCAGCTTGAATTACATAGTGAGACCCTGTCTCCAAAAAAAAAAATTATTTCTATGTTTATGTAAATAGCAATGCTTATTGTATGTTTTTTCAAAGCAGAAAAATAATGACAGCTTCTCAATGTTATAGTGGCTTATCTCTCGGTCACTAAAAATACGTTACAAAAGGAAGAGAGACATTTGTTGCTGCTTTCCCAGTAGTGAAGATAACCACAAAATCTGTCAACTTAGAATCATTTGGTTCAATTTAGAGAAGCTGAAGAAAGAAAGTAGGGATCCAAAATGTAATAGCTGAACAGTAAGAGGTTTGAGACCAGAAGACCCTAATTTTAACACAGCATGCTATATACAATAGTTTTTAAAGCTAAGGTTAACATTATACCATAATTACATTCTTTCCAGGAGACTTTAGCTTGTATTTTGTGCGCCTATGAGACAATCAGAATAAACCATGGACTTCCACTTGAAATTGTTGAGCCATCCCTGTGTAAGTTCTGGTTCGTCATATGTGATGAGAGTGTAAGATGATGGTAGCTGAATATTGAAGCTGCTTTCGTAATATACTTTTGGTTTGGTTTTTGCTCTGGTAAAAACATAAAACAAAATCCATCAACCATTTTTAAGCATACAGTTCAATAGTATTAAATATATTTAAATTATTGTGAAGCAGATTTCTAGAACTTTTTCACCTTGCGAGTCTGAAACTCTGTACTTGTTAAACAATGCTCTACTTTCCCCTCCTTTAAGCCCCTGGTAACCTTCATTCTATTTTCTATCTCTATGAATTTGGCTACTTGAGATGAGACACTTCATATAAATGGAATACTATACTATTTATCTTTTGTGCCTGTCTTAATTTAGTATAATACCCTCGAAGT